TTATTTATACCCCGCCACCATCTCCCCAAGGGGACTCGGGGTGGCTTACATGAGGCCAAGCCCAATAACACATCAGTAAAAACAAAACAGCAAGCAAATAAAACAGTACAATTAATATAACTCACATATAAACAATAACACAGAGAATTTAAAACCTTATGGCCGGGCCAGATGTAATAAATTAAAAAAAATAAACACTGGGCATGAACAGAGGTAGGATGTATCTAAGCAGGAGGGTTTTAAAAGATAATGTAGGGAGACCAACCAAACAGGTAGTAAAGTGCTTCTGAGGACAATTGCAGAGAATTATACTGTCTAACCTTCAGAAGCAACAGCAAACCCTTAGAACAGCTATTGCCAAGATAACTCTACGACATGGCAAGGATCATAGAATCATAGAGTTTGAAGAGACCACAAGGGGCCATCCAGCACCCTGCCATGCAGGGAAGACACAATCAAAGCACCCCAATAGATGACCATCTATCTTCTGCTTAAAAGCCTCCAAGGAGGAGCTTCCACCCCACTCTGAGGCAGTGAGTTCCACTGTTGAACAGCTCTCACAGTCAAGAAGTTCTTTCTCTCAGCCTTCTCTCTGCAGGCTAAATAATCCAGCTCTTTAAAACACTCCTTATGAGAGCAGGTTGTCCACCCCAGCCACTCACATGACTGCATTGTAGACTGACTGAAGGGTGGAGGAGTACACTTTAGGAGTCACTATTTAGAATAATCCCACAGTGATGATGTATTATGCATCCTATCAAACATAGTTGCTCACAGATTGCCATTTAAACAGGTTGAGACAGGGAGGGAGGGATTATTCTTCTATTTGGAAATTAAGGACCCATCCAGACAGGCCCTATATCTTAGGATCTGATCGCAGGTTTTCTGCTTTAAACTGGATTACATGGGTCCACACTGCCAGATAATCTGGGATAAACAGAAAACCTGGGATTAGATCCTGGGATATAGGGCCTGTCTGAGAGAACCCTACGAGAGAAGTATTTGCTAAAGGTGAAGATTAAACAAGCAGATATTCTTTCTCTAGGTAGGGGTTAAGCTCTGGTCCAACAATGAGTGGGAACAAAGGAGAATGCTAAACAAATGCATAGATTCCTTTGAGCATCTTTAAACATTTCAGCAACTGATCAATTAAGCCTTGGAAATTACAGCAAGCTGATGGTCTCCTGCTGAAATGGAGCCCACCAAAATTGGTGAATTGGATCGGAGCCCACCAAAATTGGTGAATTTGGAACCTCATTTCCCACCTAGAGATTACCTAGAGATGCAGGGACATGCCCTAAAATCTGGCAACCCTAATGCATCTTCTGCCCTTTAGTTAAAGTTACAGGCCCTTTCTTGTCATCATAGTTATATTAAAGGGTTAATAGTATAATAGAAAAAGAGAGAGGAAGATTCTGAGAGTGGAAAAGAGCTGGAACGGGAGCCAAGTGGGGCTCAGTGCTATCAGTATCTTTATGATATTTCTCCAGCCTTAGGTAAGAACACTGGGTCTCCTTTGAATGAATGCCTAGAGGAGGTAATGAGTTGCGTGAAGAAAAACAAACTGAAACTCAATCCTAACAAGACACAGGTGCTTTCTGTCAAGGGTCATAACCTAGATTTGGAGCTGTCAACTAATCATAGATGGTGTTACACTCCCTCATAAGACTGTTTGCAGCCTAGGGGTGTTTCTGGACCCATAGGTCCACGACACAGATAAATGTGAAAGCTAGGAGTCCTTCATGTTAGCATTGGATCTAAATATGCTAGTACATGTGCTGGTAACGTTCAGGCTGGACTTCCGCAATGCATGGTACATTGGGCTACAAGGTATGCAACTTCATTTAGTTCATATTTTACTGATATATCTAGAGATCATATTACACCAGTATTAAAATCTCTCCCTTGGTGATCAATTAGTTTTTGTGTAAAGTAGTAAGTGTTGGTGAGTACCTTTAAAACCCTGCATGGTTTTGGGCTCCGGTGACCTATGTGATCACATTAATTGCATATCATCAATCCCATAAATTCAGGTTCTTCAGGGGGATATTTATTTTAATCATCCAGGACTAGGTTGGCAACTGTCACCCATTTGAGTTTTCCTTCAGCCAGCTCCAAATTGTGGAATTATCTAATGGAAGAGCTTCAACAGCTGGATATGCTATCTAAATTTAAACCAGTATTAAAAACCAGTCTCTTCTGGTGGATGGATTGAACTGATTTTAAATTATGAATTTCTAAGTATTCCTAAGATTCTAATGTGTTTTGGTTTTATATGCCCTTTTAAATGATAGGTATTTTTAACTTCTGGTTTGTGTTGTGTATTAATGTGTTGTTGTTCCCCACCTGATTCATAGGAAGAGGCAAGTAGTAGTAATAGTAGTACTAAATAATAATAATAATAATAATAATAATAATAATAATAATAATAATGCAGAGCTGTTGACACAGGTGGGTGCCTAAATCTGTTCTACTGAATCCAAACAGACATTTCTTGCAGATGTCTGCATTCAACATGTGGTAATTGGAGGCAAGATGATTGGCATAGCAGCATTAGCCATAACTAATTCTTGTGTAGAGCTTAGTTTTTATGTGTTTTTTTAAAGGTCACCCCTAAAAACGAAAAGCAAAACAGCTATACCCAGATGTTTATACTTCCCTTCCCTAGAACAAAACACCTAAGTTGAGTCTTTCCAAATGACTCCACATGATTTCATTCTACATGTTCATCTGCTGATTGGGAATACTTGAATATGATTTAAGTACATTGCAAAACTTCATTTTGTGTTAATTACTAATGAGGCATGTAATGTTGAACATCCCTATTGTACAATCAGTTTGTTATACTTCAGAAACAGAGCCCAGTTTATATCTGTTTTTGCTTGCTTCTGAAAAGATTTTATTAAGCCTGAAAGGCCTTTAATGGTTTCTTAAAATGTGTTAAGGTGGTTGAAAGGTTGTTTGGAAAAGAAAATTCAGTGGAGAGCTGTGTTTTAACCCACACATCCTGATGGAAAGGAATTTCATTATGGTATGTGAAGCTGATGAATGATAGCTTGGCAGCATAAATCGGCATCCTGCTGTTTGTAACAGTTTCCTATATGCAATATACTGCCTGCGATGCATGGATAAATAGCATTGCTCTCAAAATGTAGTATATAGCTTAGATAAGTGATTTTTGGTGACTTATGCAACTCCTAGAGAACTCACCAGGCTGGCTAGGAGAAAGTAGAAGTTGTATTCTAAGACCAGTAATTTTTTCAGCCTTTGCTTTGAATGAGGCTTCAAGTCCCACGTGCCATTGATTACTTCATTCAGATGAAAAAGATACAAAACAAATAAAACTCAATACAATTTGAACAAAAAAGAACTATTCTTGGGATAATCATGAACTAAAATTCCTGGGGGAAAAATCTTTTTGGAAAATTTCTGTAGAAGTCACGTTGAATCTTGTCCTGGGAGAAAGTTGAGATATGACACACATTCCCCCACATAATAAAATGCATGTCTATACAGATATAAGCTTTGAATTCAATTAGGAGTGAGTAGCTAAATTTTTCCAGTGGAAAGTCTTTAAAACAAAAACAGACATATCAAATGTGCATAATAAAACATGATAATATTATAATAATATAATAATGATATTAATTGTGTTGACATGATTATTTTGAATATGTTTTAAATTTATTTGTATATAGTCTAGCACAGTGGTTCTCAACTGTGTTTTGGTAAACTGGCCAGAAATCCCAGTCAGTTGTTTATTATTATTATTATTATTATTATTATTATTATTATTATTATTGATTTCGGGTATTTATATCCCACCCTTCTCAAACCCCTGTGGGGGGGGGGGGACTCAGGGTGGCTTCCAGCCAGAACATATGCGATGCCTACAAGTAAACAAAATAAAATACACATCAAAATAAATAATTATAAATAGTTAAAAACATTAAGTTAATACAATAAAATCTACTAAACAGAGAGAGCCAATCTGGTGGCCATTGTCTGACCGAGTTCTGTAGTTGGAGACTCCATTAATCTTGTCCATAATCAATTTCCATAGCAATTGTCATCATTGTCATCATCAAGTCGGCAAGATTACCCAAAGCCCAGGTCCCACTTCCACGTTTTTAATTTCTTTCTAAAGCTGTTAAAATTTCTGGGAGTTGAAGGCCAAAACATCTGGGGACCCACAGGCTGAGAACCATTGGTCTAGCAGAACATGAATGATATATCCATTCAGAAATACTCAAAGGCTTTGATATTATGTTACCTGTGGTCTCAGATCCAGTCCATTCCTTTCAGTCTCAAAGCTGTTTATTATGAAATCTTCTTCTATGTAAATGATCTCTATGAAAAGGGAGTATATGTACATATTTCCAACATATTAACTTCAGTGTTCAGATTTATATGTCTGAAAGTTCTTCCTTCTCTATCCCTTTAGCAGTATGGAAGGTCACATAAGTGGGTCACAATTAGATTCAGGCAATTATCTTTAGTTACTATACAAGTTGTGACCCATTCAGCCAAATGGAACCCACAACTGCATAGAGTGGCCTACTATGTGTTTAAAAACTCTTATGTTTGTGTAGTCATAGGCAAAGAGTGTTAGACTGAAGACAAATGTTGTACAAGAACACTCCTGTCTTCTTTTCCGTCCCCATTCCCCCCCCCCCCCAATCCTTTAATCAATATGTCTGGGGTTTTCCTGTTCCATCTGTAAGATAGGCTGCACTCACAAATCAGAGGTGCATCCTGGCTTGCAAAACCATGATTGTACACATAAATTAAACCACAATGTCCTTATTCAGCTGTAACAATATGGTTGTTTGACAAGCCCCTGAATTGTTTAAGTTGGAAAAGAGTAGTTAACTCAAACTGTTCTGGGCTTGGAATACTAGAATGAAATGAGAACCTGAGAGAAGTGATCATAGCTGCAAAAACTGTTGTTTTTTTTAAATGTTGCAATATAATAATACATTTTCTCATTTCATTTTTAGACCCAAAAATGGTGGAAAATATTGTGTGGGACGAAGAATGAAATTTAAATCCTGCAACATAGAACCATGTTCTAAGCAAAAGAAAGATTTCCGCGATGAACAGTGTGCAGTCTTTGATGGGAAGCATTTCAACATTAACGGTCTACCTCCTAATGTGCGCTGGGTTCCTAAATATAGTGGAAGTAGGTATATTAATGAATGGGCCAGATGCAAGGTCTCACATATCTAGTCACATCTTTCCAGCTACGAGTTTAATGTTTTGCTTTCCGTAGACCTAGAGCTGATTTTTGTGATGGAAGGCTTATCATGAGGAAAATTTCATGGCAATCTGACATGGCAATCTGACAAAATTTCATGGCAATCTGACAAACGATACACAATTTAAAGTTTCACAATTTAAAGAGCAAGGTACATATCTTGGAAGAAATTGCTTGAGATGAAAAGAACATGATAAATACAATCCTAACAGAAAACAACCTGAAGATACAGGTCACCTTCTGGTGACTTTTCAATATCTGAAATTGGGATATGTTTATTTTTTCCTCTCCAGAAACAAAGCTCTAGATATCAAGCCCTGTTCAGGGATTCACTTTAATGTACCATGGGTCAAATGGGTGATGGGATATGGATGTGCCTATATATGTATCACACTTTCAGACATACTAGGAAGTGTCACAGATCTTCACCATTTATCACAAAGGTTCCTGTTTTTCTAAACACTTGTACAAAGTCAGGGTGCTGATCACAAGAGCTTGTTAATAAGGGGTTTACATGTATGCCTATTCCTATCACCACTTAATCCTCCACATATTTAACTAAGCATTTGAAGAGGGAGGGTTTCTAGGGCCATGTCTGTACTGGTGAGTAGACTCACTTCAAAGACAGTCCTGGCAGTCCAAACAACATATATAAACTCCCAGGGAAGAACTGTCCTGTGTGTGTGTGTGTGTGTGTGTGTGACTTTAATCCAACTTTGCTCTAAACTGTGCAAAGTTGGGCAAAAGTCAATTTTCTCTCCAGAAACTCAGAAGAGATCTCATATTCTTTAGCCATGTGGACAGGTGGATCAGATTCAATTTGGTTTAATTAGTCATCCATATGTCAGAAAGCATACCATCCCATTTCTTGTGTGATCAGAACAGAGGGCAAACTGCTAAAACTACACAGGGATATGGCAGTTCATTGAACAGGTGGGGAGTCAAATAAGATGGGGTAGAAAAGGGCAGGCAGAATAAAAAGGTAGGCTTAACCTGGAGTCTATCAGAAATGAACTTGGGCCATGTCTTCACTAGGAAAACACTCTTTGTTGTTCACATGCCTGGGCTGGTCCTTAATGGAGGTCCTAGGCTGGCAAGGAAGCAGTGGCAGCAGTGCCAACAACATGGGATGAGTCAGCACGATTGATGCGGTACTAATCCAGCTTACCTGTGTAGACAACAAAGTTCCATTGTACAGTATTCAGCTCAGTGTGTAGACAGTCCGGGCCAGTCTGGAACATAATGTGGTCAGCAAATGTCCATATTTGATGGGCTCCGGGTTATATCTGTCCTTTTGTCCTGGCTGCCCTTCCCTTTTATATCCTCACCTCTCTTGTTCAGTTTACTGCCACATCCCTGTATGGTTGAAGCAGTCCTCAACCTGTGACCCCAACTCCTGTTTATCTTGCCAGCTAATCTTGAAATAGTCTAACAAGCAAAATATTGTCTCTTACTGAAGGATGTACCAGCCTTCTGTTCCTTGAGTAGCCTCTTGAGAGGGAAGGGAAACAATTTCAAAGTTGGGGGTCACTAGTAAGACAATTCTCACTTACCATATGCAATGAAAGTGGAGCAATAAAATAACGTGATTCTTTTGCCTTGGCAGTTTTAATGAAAGATAGGTGCAAGCTCTTCTGCAGAGTGGCAGGAAATACAGCCTATTATCAGCTCAGGGACAGGGTTATTGATGGCACCCCTTGTGGCCCAGACACAAATGACATCTGTGTACAAGGACTTTGTCGGGTAAATATAATTTTCTTCCGTTTAATTCATTTAACCCTATGCAACGAAAGACCACTTTCTCCATCTTCCTCTCACGTAAGCTGATATCACATTACTAAATTACTCTTCATTACTAAATTGCTCTTCATTACTAAATTAGAGCCTGGTTGTCTATCTTAGACTGTAGTCATTCTGTTTTACATTTGCATTTTGCATCATCCTCACTTTTACCACTTCTGGCCCTATCCTATGCTATTGGACACCAGATCTCTTCAACTCTAGCTTGGTTATCCAGTAGTGAATGATGATGGGATATGGAGTCCAATTAAAACTAGGAGGACTGCAGGTTCCCCACCATGTGCACTAGGCCTTAGAACAGAGCTTTCAAAACTTTTCATGTTAGTGACATAGTTTTTAGCAAACCAGAGGTTAAACCAACCCCTAATAAGAGATATGGACACATATATAAATTGTAATAACAGAATGTATGAAGACACAACATATCTCCTTAAAAACCTTCATTTATAAATATTTTAAATACCAGTATATAATTTATTGCTTTTTTCACATAGAACTCGTAGTTCCTTGTTAGGTTCCTGTGACACACCTACACATTTGAGGCAATACATTGACCTGTCATGACACACAGTTTGGAAAACTCTGTGCTAGAGCATAGTTCGTTGGTATCCACCTGCTAGAGCTGAGAGGCACTGAAGAACCTAATTTAAATGCAATTTGGTTTGAATATATAGCACCCAGCATTTCATTACCAGAATTTGCTTCCAATTGTACTACAGGAAAACATTCCTGATGGTAAGAGATGTTCCAGAACGGCTCAAAGCACGGTAGAATTTTCTTCTTTGGAATTTTTCAAATATTGTGCTTTAATTATATATTCCTGCATAGCATGTGGTTAGATTATATGGCCCTTGGGTTTTTTCCAGCTCTATGATTCTATTATTCTGTTTATGTGGAGAAGAAAACTCAGTAGTAAATACTGGTAGATTACATGCTTTGCATGCAAAAGATCTCAAGTTCAGTCCACTGTGTTTCCAGGTAGAACTAGGAAAGATATTTATCTGTAAACCTGGGGAGTCATTGCCTATCAGTTTCCAAATACTGAGCTAGGTGAATGATTTAGCTAAGTATAAACCACCCCTTTTCTTTTTTTCCTGAAATATTTTCCTCTTTTGGAAATTAGGTGAAACTGAATGAAGTAGCAGAAGTAAACATTGCATATACTCTGTGCTCCTTGCTTTTTTCATCCTGATCTATTGGTTTCTGAACTGGAGCTTTTGCATCACTTTTTCTTGTTCAGAGACTATTATATATACACTGTTATATAGTCATAGCTATTTCATATATAGATAGCATGTATGTGTATATATAGAGAGAAAGCACAAATAATGCATATGCTTATATATTTGTGCATACAGTATATATGTGTGTGTTTATTACCTACACATGTGCAAGATAGATAGACATAGTGTGTGTGCATGCAATAGGATATACATGAGGTTGGATATGTATGTGCACACACATATACATATCACCTCATTTATGTCCTACCCATTTATCTAAGAGATGTGTAAGACAGCTTACAATAATAAAAGGAGTGCAGGAGGGACATAAATGTTCCATGAGGGATGTATTCAAAAACACAGGAAAATGAAAAACAGGTTCCTGAACATCTGAAACCACTCTTAAAACACAAGATTTTAGAAAAAAAAATTGACACTGGGAGATTGTGGTATTGAGCAGCTGGGTTTCTTATCCGTATTTGTATCTCTCTGCTGCATGTGAAATCTTTAAAATCCTTTTTACTGGGAGCTACTGGTGTGTGGGAAAGTGCATGTAAAATTGACTTTATTTCATCTTGCATTATGGGCATCTTGTTGTGGAAGCTGTAGTCCAGGTTTATTATAAGTTTGTGAAATGTTAGTAAAACCAAACATATCAACATAGTTCTCTTCATTTCTGATACAGCTCCTGAATATGACCACAGGGTGTAACCAAAGCTTGGGAAAATGTATTTTGAACAACAGCTCCCAGAATCCTGCTGATGTGGTTTTCTAACTTCTCAGCAAAACTATAATGTAGTCATGTTTGCTGCTCATGCTGGATTATTTGTATTCCTACTGTCACTCCTGCCCTTAATGCTGAGTGGGTTTGTATTTCCCATTGTAGGGCTGGAAGAGACTCATTTTTCATGTTCTAATTGGGAAATTGCTATAATTATAGCTTGAGAGGGAGGATATTGGCAAAGAAAAGAATGAATGAGACTGTCAGAGGCCTTCAGTGGCAGATGTATGTTTTTCATTTGGAGTGCAGTAAATTCTATCCTATTTTCGTATTTGTTCAATCTAGTTCTGAATTTTTCTTTCTGTAAAGCAAGCCGGATGTGATCATGTGCTTGGTTCCAAAGCCAGAAGAGATAAATGTGGTGTGTGTGGCGGTGACAATTCTTCATGCAAAACTGTTGCAGGGACATTCAATACAGTGCACTATGGTAAGGATCTCCTGCAGAATTTTCTTTCCTAGAGAAAAGACGTGAGAATAAAAGAAACCTTAACCACATAGAATACACTTTAAAGTGAACACTATAACAAAAAAAAATTAACCTAATATTTGACTTCCATGTCAGTAGAAGGAACCTCTGATGGTGCAATGGATTAAACTCTTGTGCCGGCAGGACTGCTGATTGAAAGATCGGCGGTTCAAATCCGGGGAGTGGGGTGAGCTCCCGTCTGTCAGCTCCAGTTTCCCATGCAGGGAGATGAAAGATGGTAAAACATCTGGGCGTCTCCTGGGCAATGTCCTTGCGGACAGCCAATTCTCTCATACCAGAAGCAACTTGCAGTTTCTCAAGTCACTCCTGATACAAAAAAAAATCACTAGAATATAGTATTAACTGGATGTGTTAGGAATTGTAACTGTGTTATTATTTTTTTAAAAGCTAGAGAATACAAAGGCGTGGTAAGCTTAACTTTCTGGTTTATTTCTTCAGGTTATAACACTGTGATACGCATACCAGCTGGTGCTACAAATATTGACGTACGGCAACATAGTTACTCAGGGAAACCAGAAGATGATAATTATCTTGGTAAGATATTACCCTCTTTTGAAAGATATTATACTCTTTTGAAAAAAAATTCTGATGTACAGATATTCCTAACGTACTTCCATAAAGTTGTTGGTTATAAAACGATCGGAAGATCATATAGTTAGAGGTTACCCTCTATACTTTGTGGTCCTTTACCAAATCAGAATGCTTAAAAAACCTTTGAACGTAGGGGAGAATAATTTCTATCCAGCCCCAATGGTGAACCAATAAATACACTGACAGTGGGCAGGAGGGTGGGTCAGCACCAAACCAAAGAATGAGCTCTGGGGCAGAGCTTCTTGGTTAGATTAGCTCCACCCCTGAACACTCCCAGTTGGGACTATTTCTATGGTCTCTTCACCAGAGGGGGGCAAATTACCCTCCCCGCTCAGCAAGCGGGGAGGGGAAAGCTAAATACAGCAAATATAATAATGTTCTCATTTTGCTCCACCACTGCACTCTGGAAAACACTCAGATTTTCTACATAGCTCTGTGTTATTCGATATCATAAAAACCCACCAGTACATGACAAATTACAGTGACGGGATTCTGTGTGCTGAAAAGTTTCCTCTTATATGTGACCTTTCAGTGTAATAAATCTTTATCTTTTGCAGTCCTGTTCAAAGAATACCTCAGTTCTATGCAGAGCACTCCTTTAGGCAATATAGTAGCTGTGATGGGTGAAATGGTGGGGAAACTAACTTAGGAAATTAACTACATAATCGCATTAGTGTGAAGTTGTTCAGCAGACTGCTGTTTTCAGGAAACCGTCCCTTTTAAGAAAGCTTTTACAGTTTAAGCCTTTGGCATTTTTGTGCATAGTTTGAATTTAGCAAAATACTATTCCAGCCAAGCACCTTATACACCTCCATTTGTAATGCTAGCTTAAGGAGCATAGCTATACTAATAAGAAATAGATTTATTTAATGTGACTGTGGAGAGGATTGGTGGAGAAGGGAAAGAACTAATGTATGGAGAGAGGGAGATAGAGACAATGATGGAAATAATAGCTGAAATCCTTAACATTGGAAAATTAGTTTCCTGAGTGTCAAGAAGCTATGACAGAGAATTCTGGACAGATGAGAATCTTTGCAATGTAGGCCTTAAACTGCACAAAATTCATATATGGTATTTTTGTGCGGAAATTCCATTTTCTGTACAGAAAATAATTTTTCTACACAAAGCTATTATTTTTTCTGAAGAAAGTTATATTTCCTGTACCAAAATGATGTCCTTTACTATAAGAAATGTGCAACGTTTGCACAGAATATTTCCTGAACTTCAGATAATATTCAAATTGGCAAAATTGTTCATTGCTTCCTTTGAGAACAAAATGAATGAAGAATTATATCAAAATGTGTGTCTTTCTAGTTTTCCCATATTTTGAGAGAATAACTACAGTACTGGAAAAAAAAACCTTACATAAAAATGGTAGACTTATGGCTAAAGAACATTTTTTTTGTTTTAGTTTTAATACTGTGTTTTAAAAGAATGCTCTTTCCTTTTATATTGGTCCATCTACTTTTTAAATCATTATGTCTTGACATTCTTTGATAGTCCCAGGATTCTTGAAGACCTTTATTTCCTAATAAACAGATTACTCCCTGCCCTACTATAGTTCCATTCCATTCAAAGACTTACTTATACTCCAGTTTTCCATTCTTCTTTCTTAGTCTTTCCAAGCACAGTTCTTCTTTAGCACAAGGCAAGATCTTTAGCTGTAAAAAAAATCTTTCCCTTCTTGGTTTGGTGTTCCCAAAGGAATAACACAGATTAGCCTGCCTAACAACAGAGTCATGCGATCCTTTTCTCCAATTCTAATATTTATTTTCCTCTCGCACCATGCCCACCTTTTTTTTTTTTGCTATATGTGTCAGAGGGCGAGGCAGCCATTCTAATGAATTCTAATGACCTAATTTACTAGCTACTATTTTTCATTTCAGTGTCAATTGGGGAATCCAGAAAGTTATGTGAAGTTACTAGAAAAATCTATCCAATTGCTAATTTAATGACTTAAGCAATAAATTAATTCCAAATCTCATAGTTATCTGATATCCCTGTGAGACTCTTTTTAAATACCACTGTACTTCTACTATTTGAAGTGCTCCATCATTTTAGAAAGAAAAGGCATTGCAGGCAGTCCCCAAATTGCAAACAAGATAGGTTCTGTAGGTTTGTTCTCAAGTTGAATTTATTTGTAAGTTGGAACAGGTACTTTTAAAAGTGTAACTCTAGCCAAAGATAAATAGAGATGTAGATAGATAGCTCTGGGTAGCATAGGGAAGAATTTCACCTCTGTGATGTTTGTTTTGCTATCTGTGCCCCTGCTCAGAAGATTTCACCTCGCTTTCTATCCCTGAGATAATTGGATTTTGAAAAAATTGGCTCATGGAAACAAGGATTGGTGCTAAAGCTTCAATGGGGATACCTTTTCCTCTGATAACTCTTTTAGAAGTGAATTTCCCTTCTAAGAGGTGGATTTCTCTCACTTCCTGTTATCTTACCCCTCGTTTGTAACTAAAAATCATTTGTACATCAGATGTTTGGAACTCAGGGAGTGCTATAGTATTCTTCTTTCCGAGACAGAGGCAGTATTTAATCAGTATTAAAATGAAAGGCTGTCTTCTGCAGCAATTGTATACAGAAGTTTGTTATAATTCAAGTATGTACCTTGGACAAAAAATGCCAGTAGGTAGTACACACATCTCCACCTTGACTGCAATGTAAAGATAAGAGTTATATATCAGGAGGCAGTCTCTACTCACTTGCCTGTCAGATGCTATTTCTTGTCATTTGTGGACTAACTTTACAATATAGGAAAACTTCTAGGAATGACTAAACTGTTCTAAGTTGCCTATGATTAGATGGCACTGATGTAGAATTCCAGACCTAGTGGAATTTAACCAGGAGTAATGTAGGAACACTAGGTTCAGTGTTGCACAAACCCCCAGTCATCACTAGCAGAAAATGAAGAATCTGATATTTCACATGCCCTTTATTTGTAGTATGTATGGTGAATCTCTGGTTTACAGATGAGAGGTTATCTGCAGGGATTCTACATCTTCATAACCTGCATGTTTCTTCCACAAGCCCATATCTTCCAGGCAAAAGGTCTTGGCTTAATTCTAATTGATAGCGAAAACTAGATTAAATTTCTTGAATTGTGTTCTGCCTTAAATCTTGTTTATCTTGACTAGAGCAGATGCATTGAATGAGTTAGATTTTCCCATGTGTTGACTTCCCATTTAACAAATGATTCATTCTATTGTAGTTCAGACTAACCGATAGGATTCCAAATTCTGAATGTGAAGTCATCACTTAGGTAAATCCTATTGATGTATTGAGTTTATTACAGTGAGGATTAAGAACTATATTTCGGTTTTACTTCTTATCAGCAACTGAATGGAGATAAACACTCAATTCTGATCAACACTTGTCTATTATAGCATTTTGTTTAAGCCGTTTTGGAAACAAGATCAAATGAATGACATTTCTCTAAAAATTAGTCTAATTAAAATGATCCATAGGTAATCTAGCCCAAGCATCTCCACAAGTGTTATTCCACACAAAGAGCTGATTACGCTTTTTTTTCAAATATCTCACAGTATTATAGGCCATAGCAATGTCTTAGTCTCATGATTCCACCCTTCCCAGTTTTGCTTTGACTAGATTGCCTCTCCAAAAATAAATAAAGTTCCTGATTTGATTAAAATACATTTCAAATAACATCCTTCTTGATCTGCAAAAGCAAAATGTATTGATATCATTTTTTTCTTATTGTTTCTGTGAATCTAGCATTGTCAAGTAATGATGGCTTCATATTAAATGGAGACTATGTTGTCAGCATGTTTAAGAAGGAAATCAGAGTTGGAAATGCTGTGATAGAATACAGTGGCTCAGACACACCAATTGAACGAATCAATTCTACATACCGTATTGATCAAGAAATAGTTCTTCAGGTTAGACATCTTTATTCAGGGTGGCCTTTTGCATGTAAGTTGGTCTGATGTTGAGGGAGGGGTAACTGCTTGAGTGTGGGTCTCTTTTTAATTGCTGTGTTTTTATTTGTTTTGCGGTTTTAATTGGTTTCATCTTTGCAATTGTTGATTGGCTTTTATGTTACATTGTAATGAACGCTTTGTTTGTAATTCTGTCTTTTTATCATTTTGCATTGTTAGTTGTCTTGATCACCTTTCTATCAAAGGTGGGACACCAATTTAAAACTCAACCTATGCCACTCTTTAAATTTTGCTTTTTTCCTGAAGCAGCCCAAGATTTCTGTCTTTTTTATACCTTTCTGTGTTTTTTCTTCTCAGGTTTTATCAGTGGGTAATTTATATAACCCTGATGTTCGATACACATTCAACATCCCAATCGAAGATAAACCTCAACAGTTTTATTGGAATATCTATGGCCCTTGGCAAGCCTGTAGTAAACTATGCCAAGGTATGTAGTTCCAGGCCTTTTAGAAGTCATTTCCCTTCTTTATTAGTTTATCTTGGATTCCCATGGTGATGACAAATATGTTTCTCTCATCTGTGCTTGGCTTCTGTTATAATTGAAGCATTATGTTTTCGGATATCTGTTATAGCTGAATGCTATATGTTGTCCTTTCAAAATGCCAAACCCCTTCTTAGCCTTTTGCTTCACAGAATAATAGCTGACCAAACCACTTTAAGCTGGCCCTTTTTCTTGCCCTGCTCAAGGCAAAGAACAGAAGCTGGAATCGTGGGTTACTCATGCTTCATGTTCTTCTTTCACTTTATAATGTCCAGAGCCTCTCAATAGGATAACTATGACTAACTCCCAGCTCCTGCCACTCTTGCCACTTTTGAACAAAATAATTGCTGCTAACATGTTTCCACTGCTGCTGTACCCCTTGTGGGTTTCAGTGGTTCTCCCCCAAATTCCAATCTTCTATAACTGCTTCTGATAATATTGGTAAGAAGCAACTCTAGCAAGTAACATTTCTTGTCCACCTGTCCTCATGGCTCAAGGTGGGTTACAACATTGCTAAAACACATAATCAAAACACATAATCATTTAACAACACTGTATAGAGTGCACATATTAAAACATATTTCCATAAAATATTGAACTCCATGGTTTCACATTGATGTGACACTGGGGATTGTGTGGTGGTGGAATGTGGAGGGATTGGTGTGTAGTTTTGTGATGTGTTCTGGGGAAAGCATTTAATTTCATTCTACAATGTACAATGACAATAAAGTTGTTCTATTCTAAAAATACATATTAAAATACACAAAACAAAAGTTAGACATGGAACGGAAGTTTAAAATTCGTCATTAAAACTGCCTGGGTATGCCTGCTGGAAGAGATAGGTCTTCACTTAAGTTTCAAATTCTGACAGCTGATGTAGCTGTTGGAGCTCCACCAGAAGGTTGCTCCACAGTCATGGGGCAGCCAATGTAAAGGGTGGTGGTTGCCAGTCAGGTTTTGGCACGCTGGAATGGATGCCCTTCAGAGGACCTCAGTGTTCGAAGCGGATTGTATGAGAGAAAGCGATCCTGTAGATAACCTGGACCCAAACCATGTAGGCCTTTAAAGGTCAATACCAGTACCTTATACTTTGCCCAGAAATAATTGGCAGCCAGTAGAGTGTTTTTAGGATAGGGTGCTCACTCCTGGGTGTTCCTGTAACAAATCTGGTTGCTGTATTTTTAACCAGTTGGTATCTCCACAGATAGCACAATGTAAAGCACATTGCAGAAGTCCAACATCGAGGTTACCAGTGCATGCACTACCATCTTAAGGTCCTCCAAATTTAGGAAGGGGCACAGCTGGTATATCAGCTAAAGCTGATTATGAGCACTCCTGACCTTTCGGATCTACCTGGTCTGAGAGACTGATCCAGAAGCACTCCCAAGCTACTAATATGGTCTTTATGGAGGAGTGTAACCTTATGCAGGACTGGTGGACACACCTCCATCCCCAGATTTGGACCCTTGATGGCAAGCACCTCCGTTTTGTCTGGATTCAGTTTCAATTTATTTTTTTCTCATCCATCCTATTACCTCTACCAGGCATTCATTCAGAAGAGACATACTATCTTTAGCTGAAGCTATTTTTGAAGGCATTGAGAAATATATTTGGGTGTTATCAGCATACTGATAACACTCAGCCCCATGCCTACAGGTGCTCTCTCCCAGTGGCTTCATGTAAATATTAAAAAGCATTAAAATAAACACTAGAGCCAAAAAAAAAGTGTCAGGTATTCATAGCTATGTGATGAATAGAAAACACTTCAGGACCATGTAGGCAACATCCTAGCACAAACAGAAAGGTTTTTACAGTCAGCTTTCCATATTCACTAAGGTTAAAGGCACAAGGTTGACAGGGCTGACAGGAAGCTCTGGCGTGGGCTGATCCTTGAGGTCACAAAGAGTCAAAAGTGACTGAATGAATAAACAACAACAACAACACCACCAAAGACACAAGAACACTGCAAAAGTGAAAAAAACTCTGGATTAAAAAAGCTGCTAAGTTTTAACCTGATGGAACATTTCTATTAGAAACTTTTGGTCATCTACAAATACCTGGAGAGGGGCTTCCCTCTCACAATCTCTAGGTTCTTAGGCATGATCAACTCCCAATGGAGAAAATAGAGATTCCTAGAAAGATCATATTTATCAAATAGTGAATAACATTATCTGCAAAAGTAAAATCCACAAATGAGGAGAATGATTGCCTATAAATAGGGTTTTAGCAAACCATGAATATCCTTCAATGTCAGAAACATTTTCTGAACAGGATTTCCAAAGAGAGCAACTATAAACTGAGTAAAAACATTGCAACTATAAACTGAGTAAAAACATTGCACAGCCATTGACAGGTAACTCTTTGATATTCCAGTTTTCAGATGGGGAATTTCAGATGAAGAATACATTTGTGCAAGTCTGACAGGTTTCCTTGATAAAAGGCTAGTTCTTTGTTTATGGGACCAACCTGGCTTTTACTATGAAGCCAGGCATCCTAATTCTTTAGCATAGGAGGAGAGTGAGTAAAGGATTAGAGCTACAGATAATGTAGGGATGAATATTAATACTATAAAAATACTAAGGTGCATCAGGAATGGACAGCAACCAATGTAGTCCCATTTACCTTAATAGCCTCCCCCCCCCCCCACCCGCCAATTGATGCTATAAACCTTATTATGAAGATTGAAAAATTGTAACTAGGATACTAAGGGCCACAATGCTCAAATAACAGAACATGTTATCCTTTTCTTTCTGTACTTACAAGAGAGACAGGGGGAGATGGTGTAGGTGGTGACAACTGGATGATGGGGTTGCTGGCTCCTAATCATATATTTCTAATATTTTTCCAGAGGGATTAATGGAATCAAGACAGTATAGTGACTTTCTGGTATCATCATCCAAGACATCCCTCCCATATTGATGCTGCCTCACTCTCTTGGTGAGGCAGCATCAATATGGGATGCTGCCTCATCAAGGCCGCTCATTTTTCTGGTCTCCATCATTGGTGTCACCATGGTAGTGGACCCAAAAGATCCCTGGCTTTAACTAGAGTCACAGATGTGAATGATAGAAAAAATGTGTTTCTCTGGTTTTTTTCTTTCTCTAACATGATGTATTTTCAAACATTTGATGAACCTCTTTCACAGTTTCTGGCTGTTCCTTTTTTCTTGGAATCAGAACTCTTCTCTGTTCATATCCAACAGAGTAGCAAGCAGTATGACCCTGCCTCTTGGGGCTTGGGATCAGCCAGGAGCCGGAATATTTTATTTTATTTTATTTGGCCATTATCCTGGGAAGTAGGAGCTTAATTCTGATCTTACAATTCATTGAGTAGTTTAACTGAAAGGGAAACATCCGTATAGTTCAACTCAGAAAACTAAATGCCACAAATTTGCCTTGAGTCACATAAAATTGTATGTATAAAACCTGCACTGTTTTTATTCAAGCATGATCCTATTGATTCTATTGATTCCAACTGTGTCGGGCTAGTTATTTATTATGGCATTGTGTGTGAAAGAGAGATAAGGAACCCTGTCAAAATAGCATGAGATAAAAGAATTAAAACAATGTTTAGGTTTCATTCTGCATCAAGATATAGCTTTAGGAAATGTAAATAAATAAATTGGAGGGTGGGAATGTTTGTGGAGGTAAAGACTTGAAGTCTTCAGAGGGAACATAAATTCATTTTCGCTGTTTCCCATACAATTATATTTACCTTTCTTCTTTAGGAGAACGAAAAAGGAAACCTATTTGCACCCGAGAATCTGACCAGCTCATGGTGTCTGACCAAAGATGTGACCGAATTCCCCAGCCTGATCCAGTGACTGAGTTGTGTAATACAAACTGTGAATTAAGGTATTCCCTGGCCATTCTAGTTTATCTCTTATATATTCAGCTAATTGTATTCTTTAATACCTGTTTTCTGACTGTTCTGAGTAGTATAATGGAAAATAAAAAGCTCTGCACTTGCTTAATGTTTCAGCTTGAAAAAGGCAACAACCATTGAACAGCTTGCAATCCACTAGAAAGTACTTACATATACTTGTACTATTGCTTTACATAACACTTATGCTGTGGTTTGCCAGGTGTCTCTTCTTTGAAGTGACAATAAATGTACCCTATTTTAGGCATTTTCTCCTCTTCTTTCTCCATCCCAAGATATCACAGTTCCAGAAAACTGTGCTCCATATCCACCATGTTCCTTCTCTCTCTAACACACACACACATACAAACCTATACACTCATGTTCATCCATCTGGCAACCAGAATTGTACTCATAATCTCCCTGTTCATAAAGTATGATTCCTTTTTTTCAATCCGTTCACCCTCAGGGAAGATTTTGGGGGTGCCTTTTCAGAATATTACTGTGAGCGCATGTGAATTAGCTCACATTTTACTCCTGCCAACCCCTCAGAACTTCATTCAGATAGTAAATGTTGCTGAATGCATTTTGAATTGCAGCCATTCTGTGACAAGTACAACCAGATCTATTGTGAGATTAAAATGCCATTAAATATTCTACATCCTGCTTCCAAAGCTAGTAGAGGTCAACCCTTTGCCTGGCAAATGAATTCCAAAATAGAAACTATTTCTTTCTGAAATATTTGCCAGAGGGTGGCTTTGGAAGTGCTGATTCCTTTGAAAGTAGAGGTGTTACAAGTATACATATGCTCATATTACATTTGTTCAAACTGAAGGATAAAGAATTGGATAGAAGTCTTGCTTCAGTCCTATATTTGCAATGTCCTATAATGCAGGGGGTGGGGGACAAAAAGATCAAAGTGAAATTCGAGCATTAGACTCCAGTAACAATTATGTATTTCTAGCATCCTAAGTGAATTCTTTTTCAAAAATGTTTTTGCAAATGACTGTGCATAGTTTTAGGTCCAACATAATCTCTTTCTCAATTTTACCTGAAGATACAAGGGCTTAAACCTGAGGTTTTTCATTTGCAAAGTATGTGTTTAACCACCTTACAGTCTTGTTTCAGTTTCTGTTGTGTGGTTCAGTTTTGTAACACTGCACAACCAGTTGTTATAGTGTAAACTTGAGTTTTAACCAGCCAGCAGTGCTTTTCCTCTGATTGTTCTATTCCTTTCCACTTTTTTTCTCTGGACCTTAAACATGCATTTTTCTTGTTTCCCCTTGAGTTCTACTCCCTTCTAAAAAAAAAAGCAATGCATTTAGTGTGTATGGTATGATACTGGCTACAGCAATGTCAAAGCCACCTTGACAAATTCAAGGACGATGAGAAAATTAACAAAATGGATTTCTCTATAATGTAAGATACTACCTGTATGTAGGGAAAATGAAATGTACAAATATAGAATAGGTGACACCTGGCTTCAAAGCAGTCCGTGTGAAAAGGGTGAAATAGATTACAAGTTAAACATGTGGCAACAGTGTGAAGTAGAGGTGCCCTCTCCTCCTCAATATAATTCTGGATTGCATTAACTGGAACATAGTGTGCAGATCAAGAAAAGTATTCCTGGCACTATATTTTGCTTTAGTCAGACTTCACTTGGAATACAGTGTCCTAAGGCTGGGCACAACATTCAAAAAGGGTATTAACAAGATGAAATGTGCCTAGAGAAGAGTGACCAAGATGAACAAAGGATCCGGAAGCCAAGTTTTATTTGGAATGTTTGAGGTAGCTGGTTATGTGTTGTTTGGAGAAGATGGAGAGATGACATTATAGATGCCTTTAAATATCTGAAATAATGTCATGTAGAAATGGACCAAGCACCATTTCAGCAGGCATTGAAAAGGAGTCAGCAGGCATTGAAAAGAAAGCCTTATGGAACCATGTTCTAGATCTGAAATTTTAGCTCCCGCTAAATTCCCTTGACTTAGTTGAGAGTGTCACAGGGGAGCGATGCAAGCTTCTCAATTCAGCCTAACATGCTCTTTGTCTGAGAATGGAACATTTCACTCTTGTTGAGCTGAATGGCACCCACAAAAGCCAGCATCCTCTGTTCTACTACTTTTTCCCTGACTCCCCCTAGCAGCAGAGTAAATGACAGGCGATGCTGTTTGACTTCCAGTTTTCCTTACTGTCCCACTTCTCTGGAGGTTTTTAAGCAGAGGCTGGATGGCCTTTATTAGCAGTACTTTGACTGTGTTTTCTTTCATGGCATGTTTTCCAGTGATCTCTTCCAGATCTATGATTCTGTGATTTCTATGAATCCGTTGTTGTTGCTATGTGATTTCAAGTTAACTCTGGCTTATAGCAATTCTGTAATAGAGATTTTTTTTGGCATATTGTATTCAGAGAAGGTTTTGCTAAGGTTGAGAAACCATGGCTTTCCCAACATCATCCAGTAGGTTTCCATGACTAAGCAGCAATTTGAATCCTGGTCTCACAGATTCCTTTGACCTCATCACATGGGCTTTCTTACCCATCGTAGGACACAACACAGTTCAAGGATGGGGCTCGCCAGGTCCCACCAAATGATGTACAGCTCCTCCTGGAATCATCCTACAATGGAGCAAGGAGAACACAGGAGGTTTCCTGTGTTCTCATTGCCATCAATGGGAGTAAGGCAAGCAGCGATGCTTTTCCCCATGTGATGGGGAAGGCAGCGATGCTGGGCGATAGATTCCCCCGTTGCCCCACGAATTCGCTGTGGTTCCCAGAAAATCCCCCTGTCGCCCACGTTAGGGCACTTAATGTGATGAGATCCTTAAGCAGCCCTCTGAGCACTACACCACTCTGGCTCTTCCTTTTTCTGCATGTTCAGGCATTCCTATAGAATAGGACTGAGAGCCTTACCCTGTGCTCTAATAATACTTCATTTCATGCATCAGGAAAAGGCTATGCTTTCTCTTCACTCAGCCGGTCTGAGTCCCTCTATGGAGGTAGAGAAGATCAGGATATAAAAGTTTTAAATAAATAAATTTCATAGATGACCCACAACTTTCTGCATGATGGAGAAAGCCCCTCTAGCAGTCACAATTCAGTTCAGTGTGTTCCTGTTTTGTTGGACATTCTATAGTTTGAAGGGCATCTTGCAGCAAGAAGCAGTTCCAATCTTCTCAGTGTTCTACATTTATAGATAGGCAACATGGTAATGCAAACTGGGTGAGTTGCAATTTGAACAGGAAAATCCGTAGTGGTACATTGCTTTCATACCAGAATGTTCGAATAATTTGGAGGAGATGAAGTTAGGAAAGCTTTCAAACACTGTGAGTGCCACACCTTCAGGCTGCTCTTGATCTTTAGTCAATGTCCTGTGTGTTGTAGCAATCCTTCATGTGTTTTGTAGCAATGACTTTCACTTTTTGGCAATCTTGTTGTTTTTGAACTTCAGCCAGTTTGGAATTCTAGGAAGTGAACTTCGAACAACTTGGAAAGCCACAATTTAAGAATAAGTTGTGAGACTAGGATATTTTCATCTGATGCGTTCTTCCTTATGATGAACCTGAATGCAAAACTGAGTTTGTGCAAGTCAAATACAGTATTTGCCAACCCTAATATAGACGATTTAAAGTAAATTAAGCTATTCCATAGTTTGGAAACTTCAGTCATGTATCAAGTAAACTATTCTCAAGGCACAAACCTCCCCATTTATTGTTTTCACAATCTAAGGTCTATACTAGGGATAGAATGGCATGATTAAGTGGTAAGACACAGGTTTTAGTGTGCAGGGTTTTCCAAAATCAGTTCCTAATACCTGAACTTATAGTGGTTAGATGTGGACAGTACAGAAGTCCTTTGTCTGAGAGTCTGGAAAGGTACTGCATGCTGTTGCTTGGATAGATGGACTCACCCACTGACCTACTATTAGAATACATCCAATTTTGGTAATATAGAAAAGGGACACAATCTTTTCAAATGCAACTCTAAAGCAATCTACAAGGATTTCTAAAAGAGAATACCTGCAGACAGTTTCAGAGTAATACTATAAGTTACATTTTTTTCTTTTATAAATGTGGATTAATAGGTGTTTTTGAAACTGAGACATTTTACATGCATTTTGATGTAAGATATAACTGATATAGCAAAATATAACTCTTTTTAATTCTTGTCATTTATATGTTGTCCCTTCTTTATTTAATTCTTGTCATTTATATGTTGTCCCTTTGATCTCTGATATTACTGTTTTTAAATTGTTTAAAATGGTTTTTAAATTGTGTTCGATTTTAGCCTGTTCTTGTGAGCCGCTCTGAGCCCCAGGGGAGTGGCGGCATATAAGTTCGAATAATAAAATAAATAAATAAATAATTTTTTATCAGCCTCTGAAGAAGGCCGCTAAGTATTATTAGGCTAAAATGCATTGGGCTAATTGGAAAAATACAATTGTCTCTTTCAACATTCTTGAGATTGTAGGTGTATCTACACTTTAGATGTAATGCAGCTTAACACCACAGCTAATGTTGTCAGTTGCCATGCTGGTTTAAGGCAAGTCATTTTTAACTACCATATTTGCCCAATCCTAATGCTCACCTTTTTTGACTAAATTACCTTCTCAAAATTAGGGTGTGCATTAGATTTGTGTAATATGGTAAATACTTTATTTGGTTTCAAGGCTTTGAAAATTGAGGTGTGCATTAGATACAATGGCACATTAGACTCGAGTAAATATGGGTAATAGCTGCGTGTCTAAAAGAACACACAGTCCTAGCTTTTGAACACATAGTGGAGACAAATGGACACATGCAATAACGGTGTGTTTAAGATCAGGCATCACATGTTTGTTCGATTTCTGTTTGCCTTGTTCATTCCAGCTTCACCTGGAATGATCTCACCAGCTTTCTCTTACAGTTAATCACATCACTAAGACATGCTTTTGATCCTACTTAGGTGGCACGTTGTCAGAAAGAGTGAATGTACAGCGCAGTGTGGATTGGGTTACCAAACCCTGGAGATTTCCTGCACAAAATACAGCAAGTTGGATGGGAAAATTGAGAAATACGATGATCGATATTGCAGTGGCATTCCCAAACCAAGCTCTAGGGAAAAATGTTCAACAGAATGTAGCACAGGAGGATGGCGCTATTCTGCCTGGACGGAAGTAAGCCAGTGATTTGTAGAGAAAATGTAGCAGGTCCTGAAGGGTGGAAAAGGAAAATGTAATAATAATATAAATATATTTATTACCCACCTTATGACTCGAGGCAGGGCTCAACATAGTTAAAATACATCATAATACTAAAATACGTTCCATTTAAAGCACATATTAAAACATGCATATATTAAAAGACATAGAAAAATTAAAACACAATCAACATATAATGTGATTTTAAAATTCATAGTTAAAACTGACTGGGCAGGCTTGCTGGAAGAGATAGGTCTTCAGTTGTGTATTAATTTCTGACAGCTCATTTAGCTGTCAGGTCTCTCCTGACACGTTATTCCATAGTCTTGAAACAGGTATGAAAGGGTGCCAATACCATGAGCTGTAAGCAGCAAAAAAATTGCACCAAGAAGAGTTGCAACCAGAATAATTTGTGCATATATTACATAAATTTGCTTAATGTAATCGATGCACAGTGTGCCATCGGTATCTGGTGGGGCTTGATTTCAGGATCTACTGTGGTTACAAAAATCCATGGACACTCAAATCCCATTATATACAATGGCACTGTAAAATTAGGCCCCGTATAAATCAAGGATTGCTTTTGGGACATTACAGGCCATGGATGGAGAATCCATGGATATAGAGGGCCAACTGTGTTGTGCAATATGCTTAATACTGAATGAATATAAGTATTTTACATGATTTCTATTTAGATTTTACTTATTTAAGAATAATATGTAATGTATGTATTCATATTTAAAAATAATAGTTATCATTGGGTTTCTGTGAGTTTTCTGGGCTGTATGGCCATGTTTCAGAAGCATTCTCTCCTGACGTTTCACCCACATCTATGGCAGGCATCCTCAGAGGTTGCCTGAGGATGCCTGCCATAGATGTGGGTGAAATGTCTGGAGAGAATGCTTCTGAAACATGGCCATACAGCCCAGAAAACTCACAGCACCCAGTGATTTCAACCATGAAAGCCTTTGACAACACAATATCATATTTTAGGAGGCATGGAGATGGGCAAGAGGCTGTAGAGAACAATGAGTTATCATTTTTTGGCTACTAGAAGTATTGTTTGTCATCTTTCTGGTTGCATAGAGCAGTTTTTTTTAACTAGCCACAGCCATAGATGTAATACTTTGGCATAGGCAATCCTGTCTTCAGTTTTATAGATAGATAGATAGAGAGAGAGAGAGAGAGACAGACAGACAGACAGACAGACAGACAGACAGACAGATAGTGGTGTGAATTGTTCTTGTGTAATTTCAATTTGTTTCCAACAGATAACATCCCTAAGGCAATTTACACCTAAGGCAAATCTGTTATGGGGTTTTGCAGGGCTGAAAGTGTGTGCCTAACCCAAGTTCCTGATGGACTTCCATGTCTAAGTGAGAAATGGAACACTGGTCTCCAGAGCTCTAGTCCTACATTCAAACCACAACACCATGCTTGTGTAATATTATCTAATAACATTTAGTGACAACAAATTGACAGCAGTTAATCAAAGACACTTCTTAAAAGCATTTTGTATTTTAAAGATCATGTCCCCTTGGTTCTATTGATTCTATTTATGATTTTAAATAAACATTTTAAAAATCCAATAGTCTGCTTAAATGTAGCACATAGAAGGACAGCAGGGTTTTTCATTTTCACTCTTGCATAGGAAGGATAAAACTTTATAGTGTCTGTAAAGAAGATACTCTTATAGTCAGGTTTTTCTTAAGAGAGAGTGCTGATTTTGCATCTTAAGTCATCACAGACAAATCCAAGTTTGAAGACTTTGTGATCTGCTGATCGGGGTCAAGAAGGTAATGGTTGTTTATCTGCTCTGTACTGTTCTGTCACGTACTGATTCTACTTTTCTCACTGAAAGTGCTCTAAAAGCTGTGGCGGTGGCACAAGAAGACGCCGAGCTGTCTGCATGAATACCTTCAATGACGTCCTGGAAGACAGTAAGTGCAGTCAACAGGAGAAAGTGACTGCACAGCGATGCAACGAACTCTCATGCCCACAGTGGAAAACAGGCGATTGGTCAGAAGTAAGAGGCTTATTACCTTAAAGTCATAAAGCAGTAGATTTTAATACTGAAATAAATTCAATGTAGGATGTTGGAGTCTATGTGTTTGTGTATTTGTTTACTAAGAGGTCAACCAATACTCAATTCCCCAGCAAGGCATGCTGAATTTCCCCCTAGCCTCCTTGGATGACTCTTCCTCAACAAAGACACAAAAATGCAGCAGCCAACCCAAAAGTACATCATCATCAGGTGGAAGCTGTTTGTGGCAGTTATTCAAAGCAGTTCTTTGTTTCTAAGGACTTTGTCGCTAAAGATAAATCAAGCGTTTGGGAGTGTTAGTTTTCCTATTATTATTATTGTTATTGTTGTTGTTATTATTATTATTATTATTATACTGACACAAAACCACAGTATGTCACAGCAAATGAGATCTATATGCTGGATTTCGTATCACAAAATCACAAGTCGAACACTTCCCAAGTGTTTAAGACTGTGTGATGTATTTTCGGATGATGCGCTCGGATCCAAGTAAGGTGGCCTTTTGCAGTTGACAGATCGTGATTTTGTCAGTTATCATCATCATCATCATCATCGTCGTCGTCGTCGTCATTTTATTTCTTACCCACCTCTCCTCATGGCTTGAGGCAGGTTACAACATTGCTAAAACACAAAAACATCCAAAAACATTCTATAAAATACACATATTAAAACATATTTCCACAAGATACATATTAAACTACACAGAACAAAGAAATAAGAATAGACCTTTGAGTCTTGTTTGAGAGAGAAAAGTGGGAATAAATCATCATCCAATTGTCTTCAGCAGGGGTTACTCATGGGTACAATATCCATAGGAGTACAACCTAAGTTTTTCTTTAGTTGCACTAAAATAAGTGGGAATGTTCATGGTGGCAACGCTCCATTGGTCAGGCCCAACTTACCTAAGTGCTTACTTTTGCTTAGAACTAAGGTATTTGACAGCCTGAAAAATTAGTCCATTTTATGAACTTCAACAATGAATAGAAGACCTTTGATCCACTCAAACTGCTAACTCTCAGATTGTGATAGCCAAGGGGTTTCCTTATGCAAATACCTCAATAATGTCTTGAGGTTTTCTAAGGAGGCCTAGAGCATCTCATTGGCTTATTAGCATATTGGTATATTTTAAATTGCAATGAGTTTCTGGAGTCATTGCAAAAGATGGAGTGAGCTAAAACAAATTTTACAAAAGGAGTTCCCTTTTTATAAAAGCCTATCTACATAATCATTCTGAAGTTCAAGGGACAACCTGCCTGGGTCAGCTGCCCATACGGTTCTTATCTTTTGAGAATCCAGTTTTAGCTCTCAGTTGGTCATTGTAAGCCAAGTGTGTTTAAACCATGTTTTTTTTCTTTTATTTATTGTGTTACCCTGATATTTCAATATACAAAACAGACATGAGATTTGATTTTATTGTTCTTTCAGTGCTTGGTAACCTGTGGGAAAGGGCACAAGCACCGGCAGATCTGGTGTCAGTTTGGAGGAGATCGGATAAATGACAGACTTTGCAATTCTGAGACTAAGCCAGATTCCATGCAAGCTTGCCAGCAGCAGGAATGTGCAGCATGGCAAGTGGGACCCTGGGGCCAGGTATTTGAACCCATTTATTCTTTTCCTTTAGCTGCCGCAAGCTATGTATGTATGTGTTTAAATATTTATATCCCACCTTCTCTATCTAGTCTACAATACAACCAGTCTGACAGATGTATATTATGAAAATGGTAGAATGATTTTGAAAAGCTAGAAACATTTTAACCTAACCAATTAACAATTGATTAAAGCCAATTAAAATAGTTTGAAAGGGTTCAAAATGATGCACACATGAAGGTTTATGTAAAATGAATTAGATACAAAAAGCTTTAGTAAACAACCATATTTCATTTGGTGCCAGAATTAGTGATGTTGCCACCAATCAGACCTCTGGGATGCCACAGCAAAAAAGACCTTCCCCTTATTCTCCCACAGCATATTGTGTAGAGAGAGTTAATAAGCTTCCATAGCATATATTTTGGGGACCGGGTAAATCAGTGATTCCCAAGCTGTAGTCCATGGACCACCAGTGGTCTGCAAGAACTAAAATATGGTCCGCGGCCTCACCATTGAAACGAGAATGACTGGTCTCGCAAAACTTTCTTATAGTGCTGAGGCAATGGTGATTCAGGAGGGGGGAGGCTTACTACCCATGAAAGGGATGTCTTTGTTTTTAGGCCTGTTTCTGGGTATATTTGGAGTGCTGATTCAGAAAATTGTATTGGATAGACCACATCAGCTCTAGATTACTAAATATGGTTTTCTCTGGGTAAGCAGATGGCGTCTACTGGATGTCATAAGTTCTGTATCAGAAACTAGACCTGATGTGGTCTGTTCAATTCAGTTGTCTGAATCAGCACAACAAATAACAAATCAAATCTAAAGTCGACCAACAACTGATTCATAACCTTTCTGGAACTAACGTTGGAGAGTGGTCCCTGGACAAGTGGTCCCCGGTAAAAAAAAAAAAAAAGTTGGGTACCACTGGAGTAAGTGAAGAAGATGATAAGGAACTTAAAACAAGTTACAAAAATAAAAACAAATATAGCTAAAACCATTTAAAAAGAATTAAGAATTAAGCAAAACCATCAAAAATTGTATTGGTGAAATGCACTTTATGTACAGAATAAAGAGAATGGCATGGTGCCAAAGAATAACAGGCAATTGCAGTATAGATCAAAACAGATTCCTGGGCCTTGTTATTTCATGGTTTGGAGAAGAGCAACAATTAAATACCACATTAACTTTGTATGCACCTTCTTTAAAATTTGACATTTTACAAATGCAAATATTTAAAAAAAACAGTTTCATATAACTAGTCCAGAGATGGAAAAGATGAAGGATTGATCCACGCTGCCATATAATGCAGTTTGAATTGCATTATATGAACAATGCAGACCCATATAATAATATTCAATCAGCATTATATGAGTCTACACAGATCATATAATGCAGTCCAAATTGCATTTATATGACAGTGCTGGTCCAGCCTTAGCCTTATTAGGAATGCTAGCCAATCAGTTCTTGTTTACTGCCTGGTTGTTTCTGATAGTTTTTTTATTGCCTCATCTTGAAGAAAAAACTTTTTACTGAATGCTTTCAAACCAGCTCTTTTATATAGGAACCTGCCTTATACTGCCCCAGACCACTGGGAAATCTCATCCAGTTTTATCAACTCTGAGCAGCAGCAATGATTCTGCAGGATTCTTTTATATCCCTGCTTAAATGTCTTGGTTGACTCCCACCCAAGTAGTAACCCTGATAAACCTTGGTTAGCTTTGGGCTAAGATATGATAAATGTGTAAACCTATAGACTGTCTTTTAAAAGGTATGTAAAGTGTTGCATTGGCATAGGCCGAAGCTGTAACAGTGTAACAGCAGAACTGCTATTCCACAACCTTCCTTCATTGTTTTATTGGCATTTCTGGATAAGATCCATCTGTAAAACTTTTGTGCTTTGCAAGTGTGTGAGTCTTTTGAAGCTTCGCAAGAAGACATCTCCACATATACAGAATAGGGCTTTACCATGAATGCCTCTGAAAGGTTTCCTTCACTTTCTTTAATCTCAGTTGGAGTGATCATTCTGGTCTTACAACTTATTCAAACAAGTAAATGAATAAACCTGTCGGAACCACACACATTTATCTCCACTCAGTCATGCCTTCATGTCATGATCATGTTCTGTTAAGGTTATTGTTATTGTCATTTTGGTAAAGAACTGTGTTGTTGTTGTTGTTCATTCGTTCAGTCGTCTCCGACTCCTCGTGACCTCATGGACCAGTCCACACCAGAGCTCCCTGTCGGCCGTCACCACCCCCAGCTCCTTCAAGGTCAGTCCAGTCACTTCAAGGATGCCATCCATCCATCTTGCCCTTGGTCGGCCCCTCTTCCTTTTGCCTTCCACTTTCCCCAGCATAATTGTCTTCTCTAGGCTTTGCTGTCTCCTCATGATGTGGCCAAAGGAGACAGCAAAGCCTAGAGAAGACAATTATGCTGGGGAAAGTGGAAGGCAAAAGGAAGAGGGGCCGACTGTGAAGATCCCTTACCTTGCCAGCCAGGATGGCAGGGCCCAGGAAGAGACAGGCTAGGTAGTTTCAGCTTAGTAGGCCTGGCAGAGAGCTGCAGGAGCCATCTTAGTTTAGGGAAGCTCCAGTTCAGAGAGGGGGAGTGGCCTAGGCCTGAGCCAGCCCAGCAACAGCCAGGATTGGTTTGGAAAAGGGGGGCGGAGTTAGACAGTTGGAGGGAAAGAGATGAAGCTTATTTTAACAGTTCAGTTCAGTTCTGGGTGATGTTAGAGTAGGATTAGAGTTTTAGGAGTCTCTGTTAGGAATAGGCAGCTTGCCTGTAGTTTGCACAGCAAAGTAGGCTGTGGCAGACTGGTTTCTGCTATTTTAGAAGAGAAATAGCTGGGTTTTGTGTAGGAATTGTAACAAAGAATAGAACCATTCTCTCAAAGCAACCGTTACGCTACTAAGAACCAAGAACACTTTGATTGTAACAGCCAAGCTTTTGAACCTGCATTCACTTTCATTCTGTAACCTTTCTATTCAATAAACTTTCATTGTTATTTTTTAAAACTTAAGCCTGAGTCTAGTGCCTTTTGTAGATTCAGTCCCTTTTCCTTTTAATTCAACCTCAACCTGTTTCCCTTCAGAGAAACCCTTCTAAAAGACACAGTCCTTGGTGTTTTAAACAACCTTTTTAACATTCTCAATAGCTAGAGGGTTCTTGATTATTTGGTTTATGGTGGCAGCGAAGGTTGTAATAAAGAGACATCCCCTCAAACGCTATAAGTGCCAAAGTGGTGTGAATTCCTTATCAAAGGAGGGACAGTGTTGGGATCTGTTTACCCCCTGTCCAGTCATTTTGTTTGGCCGTATGATTAGGGGTAGATGGTGGGATTGATCGCATTGCCATCTGCCTGGTTATTATAATTGGTGGGACAGTGGTGGGTTTGTTAGACCCCCTGCCCAACTAGCATAAAGGAGTTATTATAATTGGTGGCAGCGGTGGAATTGCTTGCCCCCCTGCCCAATCGGACATCGAGCCTATCTTTATACCGACCAAGGGCAAGATGGATGGATGGCATCCTTGAAGTGACTTGAAGAACTGTGGCAGAGATTATATGAAATTCATAATCCACAGAATGCTAAATGATTTAAACACTTGCACATGTATATTTGAAAGGAATAAATGAAGCACACGGGATTTCAAGGGAAGCAGCCAGGTTTAGCTGTTTGACCTAATTTGAAATGGAAGTGACTGAATCAGTAGAATGAGTCCATATTTATTTTAAACTTCTTGGAGTTTTGCATAAAGCATTGTGTGCTTTGAACTGCAATTCTGTTGAAAAGCCTAGCCAAAGCTATGCTTTTCAGCATGTCATTAAATTGACACTGAAACTAGCCTTACTGTATTGATAAATATCCTGAACTTCCTTTTCTCTTTTCCCAGTGTACTGCAACGTGTGGGCAAGGCTATCAGATGAGGGCAGTGAAGTGTGTGGTTGGTGCCTATGTGTCTGTGGTAGATGACAATGAATGCAATGCTGCCACCAAACCGACAGATACGCAGGTAGGTATGTTGGTAAAGTCAAGAAACAACAATCTGTATTTTTCTTTAAAAATATTAAAGGGTGCATGAAAACCCATTAAAGAAGGATTGTGTTATATCCAGGGTCTGTAGAGATGGAGGGGCAGAGTGCTACATGTGATGCCTTTAGCTGGAGGGGGTAAACTAGCATTCTAATTTGTAGGGAATAATTCAAAAAGTAACCCCCAACTGAAAGTCTTAACTAAGGTCAAGTCTACATTTAATTAATCTGAGGCCCATCTGGAGCATTGTTCTCTAGACTGGTCCCGGATTGACCATGATGGTAGCTATACACATAGGGCAGAATCCTGTGCAATGCTGCATCATTGTCCACACAGACCAGCCATATTGTCACTGCATTGTTTCCACTGGTTTGTCCCCTGTTCTCAATGTTGATAACTACTTGGACCATACCAGATCTGATCCAGCTGTCAACCCGGCAAAAGAACTTGAGTTAACTCTACAGAGTTTCCAGGAAACACTGGGCTTTTCCCCATCTTCCCTTAACTTTTAAGAAAGTTAGCCAAAAAAACTATGGTTCCAGCTTAGAAACAGCTATATCTCACTGGTTCTCAGCCTGTGGGTCCCCAGATGTTTTGGCCTTCAATTCCCAGAAATCTGAACAGCTGGTAAACTGATTGGAATTTATGGGAGTTGTAGGCCAAAACACCTAGGGACCCACAGGTTGAGAACCACTGCTATATATTGTCTGGATGGCCTTTTTCACCAGTGTGTAGGTTGTAAACTCTCTGTAGGATTTGTATGGGGCTTATACTGTGCATTTTGGTGCTGTACACATGAGAACCATTGTGTTGCAGTGGCTTGAGTGTTGGACTGGGGCTCTGGGAGGTCAGAGATTGAATCCATGCTCAACCATGGGAACCCACTGGATAACATTCTGTCAGCTTCAAAGGAAGGCAGTGGAAAACCTCCTCTGAATAAATTTTGCCAAGAGAATCCCAAGTGTGTCCTTTAGGTTTCCATAAGTTGGGGACAACTTGAAAGCACACAGCAGCAGCAACAAAAGTCTGTGCTTTTCTGAGTGTGCATGCACAACATCTGTGAGAGCTGATATTTTGCAATGAGATAGGAAGAGAATACAGCTGGATCAAAAGACTATGATAACTTGGACAACAATGCTTAGGTAAGTATATTCTACAGTTCGCCAGATGCACTCAGGGTGCCAACATTTAATGTGAAGTGAACCATTTGTAAAAGCATTAGCTTTTAAAAAGATGATAGAAAGATCTCTAGTATGGCCACATTTTCCCTTCTAATGCAAGGTCTGTCCAGTCCAAGTCTGATTTAAAGACAAAGAACTATAAGGAGGGAGAGTAGGGACTTTGAAGAGTTAATATCTGCACAGCTGGCACACATATCATATGGTCTCTGTCTTCCCGTGTAGTGACATGTTTTGTAGTTGTTTCAGATACACATATTTCTTGGGGCAAATCATTTTCTTTTATTCTCTGTTTAGGTGATATCTGAGTAGTCATCCTATTCTTTTCCTTCATATTTCTGCAATGCGGTACTTGTGAGTTGTTGATGTTCCTTAGTAGCGTGCCTTTTTTGATCTTTCATACCAAACAGGATTGTGAGATAGCGCCGTGCCGTCTTCACCCAAGTAGCCCAGAAACAAAGCAAAGCAGCCACCGAACCCAGTGGAGATTTGGATCCTGGACTCCCGTACGTTAAACCGGTCAGCTTAGGTTACAAGGAACCATTTTGTAGTCCCCTTGATAAATACTATCTGCAGTCTTCAGACTGTGGAGTTCTTGTCAAAAGGGTCAGCTTTTCCCATTGGCATTCTTGTCGCTCTTCCCTAGTGCTCAACTACATGTGGGAAAGGCACCCGGATGAGATATGTCAGCTGTCGAGATGATCAGGGCTCTGTAGCTGATGAGGCCGCCTGCTTTCAACTTCCAAAGCCATCGGCAACAGAAGCATGCACAGTAACACCATGCGGACAGTGGAAAGCTGCAGAATGGACCTCAGTAAGCAGCTTTCTTCTTGACAGGGGTGGCATAACATAAAAACCCACCAAGATGTCTGTTGTTTATAAAGTCGCCTTTGTCAATGGTCAAGAAGAATAAAACAAAGGGTGTAATTGGGTTGAAAGGCAAGGCCTGCACTGTCTCCCAAATGCTATCAAATGAAGCAGATTCATCAGTGCATTCAATGACTCTCCATTAGCAGTGACTACAGCGTCTTCACTCTGTTCTTCCTACTGTTTTATTGTTGGTGTCACCGTAGTTGGAACCAGCAGCAAAACCAGTCAACTTTTAGCAATAAAATGGGGCTAGACACTAGTGTTTACAGGAACTAACATAGGCAAATAAAGTATACGTTCCAGTTTCAATGTCTGGAGTGTCCAGACAGAACAATCACATACTTCCCCAACATGATACTTACCAGATACGTTAGCCTGCTGCTCTTCAACTCTCGGGGATGTTGACTGGAGATTCCTGTAGAAAACATCTGGAAGGCACCATGCTGAAGAGGGGTGGGATAGCAGGTGATGGAAAAAGAACTCCTTTGGCTCAACCAACCAGAATTGAGTTGGCTGAGACAGAGGTGGGTAAAATGTAGTCATACAAATCTGTTTTGGGGTTCTTGGTACTTTTGGACTGCCTTTTTGGGACCAAAAGAAAATCTGAATTGTCTCATTTGATTCCTCCTAGAGTATAAATTCATTTTTAATTAGGTTGCATACCTCCTCTGCAAATGCAGTGTTTAACAGTTTTTTTAAACCTTCAATATTTTTTTTTAAAAAAACCCTCAGTTTCAAAAATCCTTCAATTTTCAAAACTAGAAGTGGTTTGCTAGCCTTTGGGAGGGTGGTGAAGGCTATTATTGGTCATCTGTGTGACCCCTGGGAATGCAGGAAAATGGCCTCCAGATTCATTAAGATTGCCCAGCTCTTGGCTGCATAGGTATTCTCAACTGGTACAAGGCAGATTTCTGTGTTCCTCATACTGTGAAATTGCCAAATATATGGGACTTGCATCAGTAAATATGCTAATACTTAATATGCTTTTACACAAATGAGTTTCATTTAGTATTTCTCAGAGCACATTTCTTGTGAGGGTAATCATTCCAATTTTCCCCTCTATTAATGCAGTGCTCTGTGACTTGTGGGCAAGGTAAAGTGACCCGGCAAGTGGTCTGCGTAGATTACAGTGACCAGATTGTTAATAGGAGTGAATGTGATATGGAGGATATTCCAGCAACAGAGCAAGAGTGTTCTATGCCATCATGCCAACAAATCAATCCTGATTACAACAGGCCAATCCATCCCTTCCCTTACCCTGACTATCGTCAAAATAATAACCAAGGAGGAAACTTGAACCGAAACCAAGGTCGTGGACATGTACACGGAGGCAACCAGTGGAGAACTGGCCCATGGGGAGCGGTAAGTAGCTAGCAGAGATTCCATTTTGATTCCATTGAAGATTGAATGGAGCTATACTTTCTTCATTTTCTCCATTTCAAGGTTATGCCAAAAAAATGAACTTAGAGCTCTAAGAAAGAGGTGTTTGCTGTTTCTAGCCAAAAATGAATAGTGGGGAATTACATAAAATGGAAAATATTCTCCAGTTTCCAAGGGCACAGTTGGAGCTTGGAACTTGGAGAGGGGTGCAGTTCTCCAATGTTCAAAGGAGAGCAAAATGATCTACAGACATTGTCTATCTCTGAACTAAAGTTAAATGGTAACTGGAAAGAAAAAAATGTGATAGTTTCCAGAATGCCCATGTGACTGGAGGATGCTGTAAGCTGCAGTCCCCAGCTTTTCCAACTCTGGTTACTTTAATGGAAAATGAATTCAGAACACACTGCTTGGGAAAATAATAGAAAGTGGAATTTGTAAAGTATCCTTCTTCAGGTTGGAGGGATGGAGTTTTCCCATCCTACATATGAAAAGTATTTAGTAATTATTGTCCTTTCAACCACTAGCATGTATTACACATGAATTAACACTGAAGGTAACATACAGAAGATGTAGAAGGACTTATTCGTCCCAACAGATACACAAGCCAGATATTTTGGAGATGACTGTGGCTATAAAATAGAAGCAGGAAGAAACCTTTGGTGTTCCATATAACCATCAAGCTACCCTAGAAGAAACTGTCTTAGCATTTGTTAATTATCTTTTACAGTGTTCGAGTACATGTGCTGGAGGATTCCAGCGGCGGGTTGTCGTATGCCAGGATGAAAATGGATACACTGCCAGTAACTGTGATGTGAGGACAAAACCAGATGAGCAAAGATCATGTGAATCAGGACCCTGCCCTCAGTGGGCCTATGGCAGCTGGGGTGAGGTGAGTAAAGTGTTTCTTTCTATGTTTATTTAGAAACAAAGACTCCCAAGTATTTTATTTCAATAGATGAATTGTTAATTATAAAACTAATTTAACATTGACAATACCTTTTCCAAAAGGTTCTATTTTGAAAATGGCACTTGATTTTCTATCAGAAATGTGAATTGAACCATCTAGGGACGTAGAATGGTTCTTATGTGTTCCTTATGGCCAGGCACTAACATCTCTCTCTATCTAATTATAATCATAAGGAATTAATTATAATTAAAATAGCTAAACTGGAAAGTTTCAAATTAACTTTTGAGAAATTAGCCAAACATCACCTGTACACTAAGTATCCATGGATAAATTGAGGTATCAGAGGAGATCTGCATGTGAAAATGACTGTATTTTAAAGTTTATTGACACTATCAATATTTTTATATTGAAGGAAAATTGGAAAATTGTGCTTGAAGCATTTCTTTAGCAGCTTGATGTGATCAATTTTATTTTCAGTATTATGCCTTTTACTGTATTTTTTAAATAAAAAAGATAGAAGCACTTAAAGGAAGTACAAATGTGGAACATGTGGACATTTTCCAGTGAACCGTGGTTTGCAAGTATGAGATTGTTATCCCTGAACCACTTCTAAAAATGAACGCGAGGGTAGTTGGAATTAGATTTTAGCAACATCCTTTTTGTGTTCTCCATGGGGGTGGCTTTTCATGATGAAGGAGATGCCAAAGAGACTACCCACAAAATAATTTTGTTTTTTCTTCCTTTTTCTACCCTGTCCCTGACAATCCCTTGCTTTAACTCATTTGGGTGCCATTCCTCATCTTCTTTAGAAATATAATAAACTTCTCATCTATCATTCGGAGAACCAATTTAGATGTTAATTCTTTCCTAGGTTTTACTGTTATGAGAGTCTCTCACACATTTATGGATCTAGAAAAAACAAAGAATAGAATGTGTTATGTGGAAAGTAGAAACACTGGTGTCACCTCCAATCAGATCAGAACACTCTTGAACATTTTCATACGCTGATCTGACAGATTGCATTGCTATGTTAAATCTTGCTATTTTTATGATAACTAGCAATGTGAATCTCTTGTCTCAAAATAAACTATCATCCAGATTGGATGTCCTATCAAGAAAGAGGAGGGTAGCAATCATAAAGTGTATATGACCCCAGTCATTGCAAATGTGATCTTAACCCACTGCCTTTTCTCCCCCCAGTGTACAAAACCATGCGGCGGAGGAACCAGAACAAGACTGGTTGTGTGCCAGCATCCCAATGGAGAGAGATTTACAGATTTGAGCTGTGAAATCCTTGACAAGCCACCAGACCGTGAGCAGTGCAATATGCAGGACTGCTCTCAAGATGCTACCTGGAATTCTGGCCCTTGGAGCTCGGTACGAACGTAACATGCTTCTTCCTTTTTTACTTTTTTATAATGATTTGACAAACAATTCATAGGAGTGGAATGAGTTGTCCTTAAAAACCAAGGTGCTAATATTTGGAGTGTGTGTGCTTTTTGGGTGGTTGGCTCTTTTTTGTTTAAGAAAAGAGACTGAACTTAAAAAACCCTTTTTAAAATGATGCATTCCAAATAAAATAGGCATTCAGGAAGGGCTTCAGCTAGGGTATCAGTTTTATTTTAAAAGGTACTTTCTGATTAATAATGAAGTCCATACATTGTATTAACCCAGTGTTTCTCAACCTATGAGTCCCCAGATGTTTTGGCCTTCAACTCCCAGAAATCCTAACAGCTGGTAAACTGGCTGGAAATTTTGGGAGTTGTCGGCCAAAACACCTGGGGACCCACAGGTTGAAAACCACAGTATTAACCCATTGCAAGTGCTGCACATTACAAATCACTACTATGAAGGAGTCTTTTGCAAGCAAATTTAAGTCTGATTTCCACAATCTTCCTTTATTTCTATATAGGACTGTTTCAGTGATTCTTATAGTACATGTTCTTCACTCTCAACAGAAGTACCATAATTAATTTCAGTGATAAGCTAATCTCACTTCATGTAGCTAATTCTGTATATTTATTTTTGAATGTGTGTGTATAGTGCAGCATTTATTTATCCAGATTATCTGGATAAGCACCCTTAAACAAAAGAAGTAAGGTCCAGATTTGTTGAGGTGTTTAATTAATGCAAAGTAAACTGGTAAAACATGGTTTATTCCACATTAATTCACTTTTACCGGAAGCAAAATGAGACAGGTCCTGCATTAAAGGCCTATCTGGAAGGATCCAGAGAACACTGGAAGGATCCTTTATAACATCCTCATGCCCCACAGACTCCCCCAAAAATTGTTGTCCAAAATAAGAAATATAAACCACAGGTAGACTTCCAGTTGCTTCTGGGATAGCTTTGAGCCAACAATGCAGTCTACAAGAAGAAAGGTTTGCCCCTTCTGCTGTTTCCCAATAGGCTAATGCATGAGCTAGTGTTGTGATGTGAGAAATGGATTAGCCCAAATAAAGAACAAGACACATCGTTTACCAGGAATAACCATGAGATTTTTTTTTTTTGCTTTGTCTCCTACCAGAAGACAACATTAGCATGTACATATACATTGTCTTATGTATACACACACACACACACACACACACTCTTCTTGAATGCTTGGGAATGTCTTGCAAGTTCTTCCTGTTCAGTCATTTGAATTAAGACTATGGCCAGACAACGAATCAATCCATTTGAAAAAAGGCACTCCCAAATTAACTTTTAAATAACATTATTGTTGTGTTATAGCATAGTTTGAAGATTTATAAAACCATCCTTTGACTTTAAGGCACTTTATAGAGAGAGCATTGTTTTCTACCAAAATATGAATTGGCGAAACAAGTGTGATATTTATAGTTACATTTCTGATCTAAGCTTTCCTACCTTCCTTCCATCTTTCCTGCCTTCCTTCACTTTCATTTTTGTGATGGTTGTGATCATCATACCTCAGTGAATGATGTAATAGCCATACTTCCGCTGAAATAATATTTTGTATGGTGCTTTGTCATTATAAGGGACAGTGCTGTAAAATATTTTCATTCAAGGTGCTAACGTAGCTGTTTCTATATTGAGGGCCATGGCTGGTGCTGAGAGCTAATGTGCTCATTACAGCTCAGTCTCTGCAGGCACTTGGTTTCTTGTGCCCAAATTATGTACTGAAAGTTGCTGCTAATGTTGGATCACACTTACTTTGAAGATTCTCAGAAATTAAAGGGTATGGAATTGAAAGATCTTTATGGTGAAATTCTTCTGGCAATATTCCTGCTCCCTGCAATTTTCCAAGGAAGAAATCCTGTCAGAAATACCCTGATGCATCATGGTAGATTTGCTTCCCAAAGCACAAGAGAACAGAACTTTAAGTTTCAAATGCAGCCATGCATTATTTAATAAAACATTAGTTGCAGGAAACAGTGATAGTATTAACATCCTAGATCAGGGGTATCAAACTCATTTTCACTTAGGGCCACATCAGCCTTATGGTTGCCTTCAAAGGGCTGTTTGTAATTGTAAGGTTGTATAAATGTAACTATGTTGCCCTGGCATTGAAAGCCTTGTAGGCCACATGAAATGACATGGCGGACCGGATTTGGCCCACGGGCCTTGCATTTGACACGTGTGTCCTATCTAGGATGCTAAAAAAGTTATAATGCAAACATCTAGAATGCTAAATAAATCATTACACAATTGATCTACATATTCATTGTATAAATCTTGATAATTAGACATTAGTATTCATTTTTTCATACAAAATGAAGCTGTTAAATGAAGCTCCCAAGCTGTTAAAAGAAAGAGCACAACCAAATACCTGCCATCATGCTATTAATGGAGTTACTGCAGTAGTTGTAAAACCACAATGAAAATGTGCAAGATTGCCTTTCTTGGGATTTAAATGGAAGCTTAGCAGATTCTGAGATGGAGAAAATTATGTAGGCCAAATTACAGAGTGTTTGAAATTGATGGAGCCAATTTGAAATTGATATATTTCTGCAACCATGAACCGCCCATGAATAAAACTCTTGGCACTTTAAAGATCAGGCATAGAGTTTCCAGTGATTGCCACTGGTTTCTACTTCCAGCACACAAACATCCCTTAGCCACAGTCATTCACAAGATGGCACCTCTGTAACATAAGGCATTTTGTATTCTGTTCTTACAAATGACTGAGCGCTAAGGGCTGTTTGTGCACTTGAAAAGGCAACCAGCAGTAATCAAACTCTACTGAGTCCCCCTCGGTGGAGATAAAACAGGGTAATAATAATAATAATAATAATAATAATAATAATAATAATATGCCCCATCCTTTCATTATTATTATGTTTATGTATACCCCACTTTTTCTCTCCACAAAGAGACTTTCATTCATGGGCAATTTGTGGTTGTAAGAAATATAGCAATTTCAAATCGGGTCCATCTTTTTTAAAATACCCTGTATATATACCCTACATAATATGGTCCTCCTACTCTCCCTTAAATGGAATTGCAGTTTGCCTACCCACCTCTCCCCTGTTACCTGGTCGGTATTCAGGGACTGACAGCAGAAGGACAAATGGTTACAGAGCAGAAAAAACTATAGCTATGCTTCTCTCCTGCAAGAAGTCCCACCATTAGTGCCCCTTTCACAATGTAATCAGACCCTTCCAGAACAAGATCTGTTATCGCTCTTTAAGTGGCTACAAGGAACAGCGAATTGCGTTCCTTTTCTTACATGACTGGTTTTGGCACTTAAGTCAAAAGTCTTGTGACCAAAATCTTGGGAGTTCTTTACTAAATTCCAGCAGTTCTCCCATGTGAAAAATCCCCTCCCATCTGCCCTAGAAACAAGCCTTCAGGGCTGAGCCATTTTTTTACATATCATGATCAAAATGTATCAAAGATCTAAATTTCACACCATTTAACTGAAACAGCTTACTGTTTTAAAATGACGATAATACATATGTCTCTGAGTAAGACAAAAGCAATCCCTACAAATAAATAACCATAAGCTAAGATTTCCTGCAACGCCTGAAGAGTGCAGCCAGTAATGTTTGTCTACCTCGTTTTTGATACCGTGTACTACTACAATTCGTAGTAGAGGACAGCCATCTTTTATTTTGATGTTGCCACACTTCCATATAGCTCTGACATTTATTACCACCTTTCTGATTTAGATGTGCATACTTCATCTGTAGCAGATGGAGTGTTGCTTCCATGTTTATGGACACTTTTGAAACAAGAGTATAGTATTGGCTGAAACTATTTTTCAGCAGAATGGATTTCTTTATGTATTTATGTTAATGATGTGTATTTATTTTTCAACTAATTGTTATTTAATTTTATATAAATGTTGCATTATCTTTTCAATGTTTGAATGCTGGTCTGAGGAGAAAAAAATTAAAGTAGAATATAATCATCAATACGTTTTGTAGAATGATTTCTTGCCTTTGGGATCATATAGTCATGATATATGTGTAATTCACACTGAGAGAGCAGACTTCTTCAGTAGAAAAGCTTCAGGCTGTGTTTCAAGTCTGTTTATTTGCATGATAGCACAATATCTTGAAGTTCTTGAAGAACTGTAATCTCATTGATGCAAGTAGTCTCTCTTAACAATTCAAAACATAACAATCCCACACCATTATTGTATTCACAGCTGCTATAACCAGATTGTTACCTGGTGCTAATCTTCTAATATAGTGGTTCTCGTGTTAGGTCTGTATTTAGTTAGATTGGCCCTCAGGTAGTCACCCTTCAGAGCCATACCCATAGCTTTATCAGTTTAATGGAACCGATAAGAGCTTGGGTTCCTCTGGCATTGCCATCATGATTTTCAGGGTTACCTCCATGTCATGACAGAGCTCTGAATAAGAATGTAAACATACAAAAATGTATCTGGAAAAACAGTTGTTATTTTATTGGTGTTTATTTATTTTATATCAAAAGCATTGCATAAATTAGTATAAAACTGATAAAAATAGAAGGAGCACAGGCAGCTAAATATCTTTTGACCAAAAACGGGCAACAGCAATGGCATTGTCTGTAGCCTCCGACAATTCTTCCTCTATAAATGAGACGGGCATAGTGGACAGATGTGGAGTTGTCTGTTCTGCTCCACAGTCACACAAGGTGTGGGATTCTTTTAGGTAGTGCCATTTTGCCATTTTAGGTAGTGCCATTTATTGGTGGTGCAAAATATAAGTACCATATACCACAGAATCTCCAGACTGGTCAGGAGGTTACATAGTCCACAATAGGCAGCAGTGGCATCTCAGAGTCCAGATAGCCACATTAGGCCTGTTGGACCATCTCCTGACTTTCCTTCTTGCCACCTTCACTCCAAGATTATTACAGTTCCGTGGAAGCTCCTGGCCATTGCAGGATTCCTTGCTAACATGAAACAGGAGGGAACTGATATCAGCACCTGTGCCCACAGAGGCCAGGATTTCTTGTGGAGTTTTGCACCCCAATCCATCCCATTTTTTCCTGTGCTGATGAGCACAGGGAAAAAGAGATGTAGGTTGTTGACCATATGGACTCCAGATTCAGCTGGCTTACCCTGCAATGACCACTGGAAATGGCAGAATGATGCAGGAATAGCCAGAATTGGCTGCACGGTGTGCAAGGGTTATTATGCCTGTGTAGATGAATCCTAAATTAGGAGATATACAGGGACCATTCCAAAAGAACCACAAACCAGAATTCTTGCTGGAAATAAGACAGGGTGTTTCCCCATGCTGCTTTATCACTCTTGTTGCAAGCTTGTCTTGTTAAACAAACAATCCATAGGAAGATCTGTGCATAGCTCTGCACACACAGTGTCACACTCCGCTATTACAGTTGGGAAGAGAAGCGGTTCAGATCCTTGTAGGGGGATTGAGAAACAACAACTTGATCTCAAACAGTGTGCACCCATTGTTTTCTTCGCTAAGGATCCCAAATCTTCATGATCTGCAGGCCTCAAACATCTTCTCCTGTGTGGTCTTTGTATATGGCCAAATGTTAGGGTTCTTTGAGTAACAGGGAGGTTCCAATCTATCAAACCTCAAGTTGGTTTGGGAATAGCATCCTTATCCTGATGTGTATGCATGCCATATATAGGCATATCTCATCAAAAAGAGCAACAGACTAATAGATTATGTTTTATTTGTAAACATTGTAGCTAGTCTTTCTTGGGTTTTCCAGCATCCAATCCACAGGATGTGAATTTAAAACACAGACAGATTGACTGCTGTGTAAGAATTTGCATTGTTGGAAGCAGTCCACAGTTTCAATGATGGTGTAAGACTCATTGTCTTATGCCTGAACAATCTGGGTGTCTTAAAATATTTCTATATTAGAGCTCAATTTATAAGTAACAGTATGTTGTTCAGCTAGGTGCCACTTAAAAATTTGAGATCTATAAATGACTAACAAATAACTAACATACATTTACAAATGATTCATGTTGTTGTTGTTGTTCATTCATTCAGTCGTCTCCGACTCCTCGTGACCTCATGGACCAGCCCACGCCAGAGCTCCCTGTCGGCCGTTCACCACCCCCAGCTCCTTCAAGGTCAGTCCAGTCACTTCAAGGATGCCATCCATCCATCTTGCCCTTGGTCGGCCCCTCTTCCTTTTGCCTTCCACTTTCCCCAGCATAATTGTCTTCTCTAGGCTTTCCTGTCTCCTCATGATGTGGCCAAAGTACTTCAACTTTGTCTCTAGTATCTTTCCCTCCAGTGAGCAGTCGGGCTTTATTTCCTGGAGGATGGACTGGTTGGATCTTCTCGCAGTCCAAGGCACTCTCGGCACTTTCCTCCAACACCACAGCTCAAAAGCATCGATCTTCCTTCGCTCAGCCTTCCCTAAGGTCCAGCTCTCACATCCGTAGGTTACTACAGGGAATACCATGGCTTTGACTAGGCGGATCTTTGTTGCAAGTCTGATGTCTCTACTCTTCACTATTTTATCGAGACTGGACATTGCTCTCCTCCCAAGAAGTAAGTGTCTTCTGATTCATAAGGCTCTTTAAAATACATCATTATTACACAATTATTCCACTTTAAGTGCCATGACAAGTGTAAGTGGAATTTTGGATTTTGCAATTTAGGAAAAGGCCCTTAGAATTCCAAAATGTAGAGCGTTAGGGTCTCTGAACAAACTACAAATCCCAGGATTCTATTGGATGGAGCCATGGCAATTAAAGTGGAATCTATAACTGGGTGTGAAAGGGCCCATTGTGATTAATTGTCATAAATCAGGACAGGCAGTGTAACCTATATAACAAAACATATCAAACACGATATAACCCCAAAATGTGGCCCTTGAAGACCCACAAAGCTCCCAGAATACTTTTTTTTAAAAAACGCACATTGGCTTTCACCTAAAATCTAACCAAAACAGCCTGAGATGTGACAATTTACTTTCTCTCAAAGATCTGCCCAAATAGCAGCCCGATTCTTGTGCTATCACCTTTAGTGTGTCAAACACAATGATGTGGCCTGTTATGGGCACAGTGTGAATGGCTCCTGCCTTCTCTATGATTGCTCCCTCTCTTTTAATTTATTTGGTCACCAGTAACAGTTTACAACCAAATATGGACTGTAGATCTGTCCCACCACTTATTGCATGTAGAAGAAAAACAAAGCATGGCAGCTGAGAATTCTTTAGAACTGTACAGGTGACATTGTCTCTCAAACAGCCTACTGGATATACTCATGTAATCAACCTCATATATAAGGTAACAGCACGTTTTAGGGTCAAAATTATGGATTTTGATATAATCCATGGAAAATTCGAAGATCATTCCACGGAGAGGGGAAACATCAATGCTGTCAGGGAGTCAGCTGCCATTTCCCTGCCCAGACATCTACAACGGCCAGAAAGGGTATCATGGCTGAGAGAGAGGAGAGGATCAGTGTTACCTTTACATTCTTGTGAGGTCAACTAAGCTCTTGCCTTTCTCCACTCTACTCAGAGAAGGCAAGGGTTCCTTTTTTAAATTAAGAGTTATGGTACAGAACTTAAGCTGACATAGATAAATTCACCCAGATTTTTGGGATAAAATTTTTCTAGACTTATATATAGGGTATATAGAAAGCATGGGAGAACAATGGCAAAGCAAAAACAGCTATGTGTTATCGGAGGCTTTCATGGCTGGAATCACTGGGTTGTTGTGGGTTTTCCATGCTGTATGGCTATGTTCCAGAAGCCTCTACTTAAGACAGTTCTTCCATCAAGTTCAACTATCTCTATTTTAATTACAAAATGACAGTAGAAAGTTGTGAGGGATTACAGATGAAAATGTCAGTTGTGGAGGGATAGCCACACATTTGGGATGGTTTTTTTTTTTTGGTGAAGTTTTCTTTTTAAAAAAGCCTACAAATTGTGCATTTAAAAAGTGCCATAAATAAGGGGTCTAGGGGCCACATGTGTATCCAACACTGATTTATACATGTTTTATCAAGGGGCTCATAACATGTAAACTAGTTTCCATTACAATGTAGGGTGTACCATCTTATACATTTTTTAAAAGTTGTATATTATAAATTAATCAGAGCTTGTTTACATAATTTCTGTGTGTGTAAATATGGATGGTATTTGAGTTGGGTTAGTATTTCTTCCTTTCCCATCCTGTGAGCCCTGTTCTACTTTTATTTGTCCAATTGGCTTTGCTAATTTTACTTCTTTTCACACCATAGCAAGAAAAATATTGACAACTCTTTAACAGTGAATATTTAAACCCGAAGAAGCCAATGTAACGTAGTTGTTTAAGTGTCAGACTAGGATTGTTCAAGATGAGGAACATTATTGAGTGACCTTGGAGAAGTCGTACTCTATTAGCCATAGAGGAAAACCATAGCAAACTTCTTTTAAATAAATTTTGCCAAGAAAACTCAATGATAGGATCCCCGTATGTCAGAGCAAACTTGGCAACACAACAAGATGAAAAACAAAATCAAATTGTGTAACCAAAAAATACATCATATTGGCTGACAGGTCACAAAACGATTACAATTATAAACTGTAAATATTGTGGATATTATAAATTATAATAGTTTATCATTACAACTACCATATGACATATTTCTTGTGTCTGCTTATGGTTCTGTAATTTCTCTGCAACAAGAATAGAAATATATCCTACACACGTTGCTGGACTGCAACTCCAGTAAGTCTCTGGCTAACTAAAGGATGCGACATAACGGTTGTGGAACATGTAAAGGATTGGATGCAGGCACTGTCCAACAGTGTAAGATGGAGTGCATAAAACAAGATTTACAGAATGAAATCATAGCAGTCTTTCTTGTGATGAGAATTCTGTCAAGAATATACATCTCGTATTAGTTGTGCCATCATCTTTCTACATGCCTTCAAAATGTTGAAATGAACATTTCATCCCTCCTATCAGGTGTGGATGCATCTCAGAAGGAATTTGTTGTGTTAATATGCATAGAAATATGTTGCTGCTAGAAACCTGGTGCAGTGCTACCCCTTGGTATCATTGTGACTAGAAAATAATCTTTAACTTTTAGGGATACCACTTAAGGAGAGAACACAGCCTGGAGTAACATATTGCAAGTAATGTTGTTACCGTTGTTGTCGTTGTATCTTCAAGTGTAGTTTTTTCTTAGGCATACTCAGAGTTGGTTTTGCCAGTATCTTCTCTTGGGATATAACCTACAGTATCAGGTATTTGTTGGCGTACTCTCTTCCAAATACTAACTAGGGCTGACCCTGCTTAGTTTCCAAGATCAGATGGAATATGGTGCTTTTTTTTTTGTATGTTACATTACTAAAATAACATACTGGAGTGCCATGTTACCTTTTTGAAGATCCGTTTTCTCTTTCTGGGGTAGAATTGAGGGCAATGTGATAAAACAATTTTAGTACTGTATAGATCAGGCTTTGAATTCCTGTTCAACCATGGAAATCCATTGAGTGACCTTAAACAATTTTGCTCTCTCAGCCTTGGATGAAGGCTATGGTAAATCAGCTCTGAAAACCCTGTGATGACTTGAAGGCACCCAACAACAACACGTTCCATAATAAATTCTTTTACAAGTAACTTTAGTTCTGGCATTCATGATCCTAAAAGAACATGCTGATCTGCCATGGGACACTGATGAAAATAGGGAGGGACCTGTTGCTTCTATGATATGGACACAATCAGCTTTTCTGTCCAACATCCAGTTCCAGTTTAGGAATCCATCACCCAACAGGGACCTGACAAGATAGCACAGTACAGTAAACATATCATTATGATGGAGAACTAAATTAGTTTAGTTGTACAAATTAAACATTGGATGCAGCTTTTCCTGAGAGGATCCAGCCTTTGTTCTTGTATCATCTTCCCTTGTTCTTGTAGGGCAGTGGTTCTCAACCTATGGGTCCCCAGATGTTTTGACCTTCAATTCCCAGAAATCCCAACAGCTGGTAAACTGGCAGCGATTTCTGGGAGTTGTAGGCCAAAACACCTGGGGACCCACAGGTTGAGAACCATTACTGAAGGGTATTTGATTCCTTTGTTCCTAGACTCTATAAACATAATAGGTTGTGTTGACAATCCTACTATCTTTATTTTGGGAATGTAAATATTTTAAAATGTAATTCCCACAGGCTGTGAAGAGTTGTTGAAAACTGAAGTTTTGAAAACTATTTGCCGTCCAAGGCCTAATCTGTGCAAAAAATGGCATATAGCCCAAAAAGAAAAAAAAAGAAAAATCATTTTCTGCTTAGGAAAAACATTTCTTTGCAGAAAACAAATTTCTGAGACAGAAAAAAAATCTGTGCAGAAATGTTGTACAGGCCCATATACAGTCTGCAGTTTTGTTTTGTCCTTGGGATGTTGGAAAAGTATTATTATGAGGGGCATCTCCAATTTTTCCACTACATTAGTTAGTATGAAGCAGAAATTAACAAAGTAATTCTGTGAAGGGCACGAACAGAATTACAATCTACAGTAATCCTACCAACTGAAACATTACTCTTTAGTAAATATTTTTTGCCATTACATAATAGCATTATTATCTGAAAGCACAGGCTATTCAATTTTCTGCATTGCCTTGGTCTCTTCTACATTTTTATTCCTCTACAGATTTCCTGCACAAAAATGCCCATGGGAACTGGACAATTTTCTCTTTCCTTCTTTCTGAGAACTTCTAAGTCTGCAATCTAATCCTTTTTTCCTGGTGTATGGTAATTTGCTGTATAACCATCCAGTTCTTTCTCTCTCGTCATTTGAGATGTGTTAGGGAACATGTCCCCAAGCAAATCATAATTGAGTGTTTTACTACTCCTTTTTAAAAATCATAATAGTCTATTTCCAAGCAAGACGGATATTGTGCATTGGTCCAAAATACAGGTGGGAATCACATATAACTCCAAATATTCTTGGACTCTGGTTCCCAACTGTGCTATTGACTGCTGGAGGATGGCACAGGTAGGAGGGACATGTG